AATTATCAACAGCATGAATTATAAGGCAAGTTCTGGGAGTTGGCACCAGGAAAACAAAGGCTGGCAAAACAGAGAAACCTGGAGCCTAGTGTGGTAGAGAGTCCCTAGCATCACTTGGCAAGTACTGGAGGAGAGGTCTGGAAAAGGGACAGAGGGACATGCTGGGGGAGGGACCTAAGATGAGATATCAAGGCTGGCTTCAGACAGGAGGAAGCTGGGTGCTAAGGAATAATGTGGAACTTGTTGGCCAATGGCAGGAAGAGAGTAATCAGAGTGGAATACAGAAGTGGGGAAGCCTAGGAGACTTCATGATAAAGGGTGAAGAATGCAGACCGGGAGGCAGGGTCAGGAGACTGTTACAGGAATCCAGATGAGAAACAAGCAGGCACCAATAGGGCAGTGAGGGAGGCCAGGAGGAGAGCTTTGGGCACTAGGAAGGAGGCAGAAGCAACAACTTGGCTGTCGGGAGAAAGCAGGGGTCCCACTTGGGTTACTGAGATAAATCACTGAGAACACAGGATGGGGAGAGTGAGTGGGAGGGTGGGGGAAGATTGAGTGGGGGGGACAGGGGAGAATGAGTGGGAGTACCCACAGGGTTTACTGATGAGCTGCATGTGGGGAATTAAATTATTTGTAACAGTATTTTTATTTAACCCAGCACATCCAAATTTACACCTGTTTCCCTGTTTTAATGTGGCTATTAGAAATGTTTAAATTACATATGTGGCTCACATTATACTTCCACTGGATGATGCTATTCTAGATCTCTTCCTATGCATCATGAAAGAATGCTGCTATGCATGCCTGTCAAGGCTTGGGGGCACGGGCACAGGCACTTCCCCCTGCCAGAAGCAAAGTCTGCCTCTCCATATTAGTGCTCCTTCCTTTTCACCTTAACACATTAGGGTCTCTTTTCCAGAGAGCACAAATAAATCTACCTCACCCTTTTTAATAGCCATGTTGATCTCTATTATGCAAGTTGAGTACCCCTCATCCAAACATCTGAAATCCAAAACACTCTAAAATCCAAAAATGTTTGAGCACTGACAGGACATTCAAAGGAAATGCTCCCACTGGAGTATTTTGGATTTCTGATTCCATATTAGGGATACTTAGTCAGTAAATACAATGCAAATATTGAAAACACCAAAAAAGTCTAAAATCCAAAACACTTTTGGTCTAAACTGTTGGATAAGGGATACCCAACCTGTACAGATAGGCCTAATTCATTCATCCAGTTCCCTACTGATGAACCTGAGGTTGAGGCATGAGTTTACTTTTTCAGACAAGGCCACAGGAACATCCTGGGACTACTCACTGTGGAGTCTCCATTCCGAGCTGCAGGCACACTGGCCAGGGGCTGTGGGCACTTCCAGTGTTACAGTGGAGAGCCCGGACTTGGAAGGCTTCTCGGGCATGGTTAAGAGATGTGGATGGTGTCCTGCAATCAGTAGGAAGTCACAAAATAACTTAATTTTTTTTAATTGCTGACTTTGAATTTTTCCTTCATCAAAAAAGCAACATATTGTAAATACATTACAGACAATTGGGAAGAAAATAAGAAACCATAATTTTATTGGACAAATACATTCTTCCTTTTAGTCTTATTTTCTGTACGTTTTTATTCTTGCTAAATTGTAATCAGAGTGCACATCAATTTTAGATCCTGCTTTGTTCCTTTAATGTTCCTGTGTGAGCATTTTTCTACGTGACCACAGAATCTTCCTAACATGTTTATTTAGCCAGTCCCTTCAGCTAGACACTAGAGTCTTCTTCAGTTATGTTTGAGCAGCTCAGACGATGCCTCTGCCTGTGACCCAAAACGCCTTCTCTAAGGGTGCTTTCCTGGCAGCATTCAACCAACCTCAAGTCTCACTTGTGTAAGGGAAACAAGAACACATCCATCAGTACAACCCCGTCCCCTCTAGCTGCCATACTGTCTCTTTCCTGTGACAGCCCGACTTCTGGAAAGACAGCCCCACTCCCACCCCACCCATGTGCCCCTCCTTAAGTCCTCTACCTGCTCATTCTCCCTCCCATTCCCACCTGGTCTGGGCCTGGGCCCTAGCCTCCTCTCTCTCTGGACTCTCTCCCTGTCTCCCATGACATCCTGGCCCTCCTGGTAAATCATAAAACTTTCTCCTGAGCCTGCCTGCCTTCTGGGCTTCAGCCCCCTTCCTCCAACCAGACTACCAAGCATCTTCTTTGTGGTCCCCCCGCCCCGTCCCTCTAATCCATGGCCAAGTCTGGCCCATGTGCCCTCCTAGACAGCCCTTCACCTAATCCTCCCCATCCAGCTGCCAACACCTTGCTGTTGCTCCTAATGCCTCCCAGGGGCTGGCACCTAACTTATCTTCCTGCCTCCAGCAGTGCCTTCCCTGCCACCCCACCATGGCCAGGCTCCAGATTTCAGTGGGAATACTTTAGGGGTGTTTGTGTGTCTGTGTGTGTGTTTGCAAATAAAAATCTGACTGAGTCACTCCCTGGAGGAAATACCTGTTCCCCTGAAGTCCAATCCTCCGAGCCTGAAATTCGGGCCCCGGGTGACCTGGCCCCGGCTCACCTGTGCACCCTACTCCCTCCCTTCTCGTCTGCTACTACTCTCCACCCTGCAGTTCACAGACATTCCAGGAGTGAGCCTTCCTCGCTTCTGCACATTGTGGTTTCTTTTTCATGGACTGCTCTTCCCCCTCCATGCTTCCTTCACCTGAAGAACTTCTATTAATAATTTTTTAGGTCCCAGCTTAGAAGTACCTCCTCCCCCAGGAGGCCCCGACTTCCTCCTCATCTACCAAGACTCAGGTGCTACATTCCAATTTGCCTCACAGCATCTGGTATTTTTCCCAATCACAGAATTCATTGTGCTGTGTTCCATGCATCTGTTTTCAGTCTGTCATGTGACCCAGTCCCTCACCCCTCCCCCACTACACCCACATCTTCCTGGCTCCATACCCTGAAGACAGGGTCTGTGCCTCATTGACCTCTGAATCCCCAACTTAGCATAGTGCTTGAGGCTGAGCTTGTGTCCAATAAACATATTTTGAATTCAGAACTAAACAGAAACTGATGAACATCTTGATGCATAAACTTTTCTCATTCTGAAGATTATCTCCTTTGAACAGATTCCCAGAAGCTGGGAATTATTGAATCAAAGAATATTAAACACTTTCAATTCCCATAGCTACGTAGCTTTCCAAAAGGCTGTGGCAATTTACACTTCCACCAGCAAGTCTAAGAGTGCTGATCTCACTGCATTCTTGCACCTTGGCTATTCTCATTATGGCTTTTTTTTTTAAATTAAGACAGGTTCTCCCTCTGTCACCAGGCTGGAGTCCAGTGGCATGATCATAGCTCACTGTAACCTATAACTCCTGGGCTCACGCGATCCTCCTGCCTCAGCCTCCTGAATAGCTTGGACTACACATGTACACCATCTGGCTAATTTTTAATTTTCTGCAGAGGCAGGGTCTTGCTGTGTTGCCCGGGCTAATCTCAAACTCCTGGCCTCAAGCAATCCTCCTGTCTTGACCTCCCAAAACACTGAGATTTCATGCACGAGCCCCTCCCAGCCCCATTGTCTTTTTTTAAAGTGCTCATTTTACAAGCAAAACATACCACCACCTTGTTCTAATTTGTATGTCTTTGATTACCAGTGAGGGTGAACATTTTTCCATATATTTGCCTACTAAATGCACTTCATTTTTGAGGATTTACCTGTTTGTGTGACATGGAACCTGTTAAGGCAGGCTGACTTGTCATGAGGTGACTCTGGGGCTGTGGAGGAAGTGACTGGGAGCATGAAGAGTGCTGCTGCAATGATCCCGTGATGGAGGAGCAGGCCAGGGTCACTCTGGGCCATGAGGAAGAGCAGGAGGGACAGACATCAAGGAGACCAGGTCAACCTGGGACTGACAGCAGACAGCAGGTGCAGAGCAGGAGGGGTGAGGGCATACCCAGGTTTCCGGCTCGGTGCAGTGAACTGGAGGAGGTGCTGTGCTTGGAGACGGTGCGCAGGTGGATCCACACACCTGCAAGGCAGTTCTCAGCACCCTTCACTAGACACACCTGCCGAGGAACAGTTACCTGGGGCAGCAGGAGAGGCAGGGGCAGGAGGGTCTGAGGCAGGCAGGCTTCTTGAAAGAGACCAGGGGCGCCAGGTTTTGAAAGGATTTGTAGGGCAGGGAGTGGAGTCAGGAGGCTGCCCAGGGGACGATCAGGGTGTGCTCAGGAAGAAAGGTTATCATGAGCTAAAGCTGAGTGAGCTATCGAAACATAAGAGGCCTTGTTCTCATTGCTTAGCTTGTGTGAATGCAATGACAGCCCTAAAGCAGGTAGTGTTCTTATTATCCTCATCCTACAGATGACACTGATATGCAGAGGACCAGACCTTGCCAAGGGTCAGACAGCTAATGAGTGGTAGAGTTAGGATTTGAACTCAGGGCTCTGGCGCCTGTGTCTGTGCTCCTCACCATGTGGCTGCAGTTGCTCTAGATATGTGAGCACTCAGGAAGGCTGAGGACAGTGGAGCGAGCTCCCCAGAAGGAACTTATTAAGATTCTCAGCATTTGGGGCCCTTCCTGGAAAACAACGAACTGTGGACAAATCCCAAAGCCCACCTCCTCTGAGCCAGGAACTGGGCTGCTGAGCTCTGCTTGGAGGAGTTCACCTGGCCTGGTGACTGGAGCCACCACAGACACATGATCTCTGACCACAGCCAGCCCAATAACTCTTCTCTAAGTCCCAAACAGCTCTTAACCCTCAGTTACTGAGGTGGGAGGATTGATTGAGAGAGCTGCCAAGTTGGAGACAAGGATAAGCAACATAGCAAGACCCCGTTTCAAATAAAAAACAATTAGACATCTATAGTCCCAGCTGTACAGAAGGCTGAGGTGGGACGATAGCTTGAGCCCAGAAGTTTGAGGCCACAGTGATCTGTGATCGCATCACAACACTCCAGCCTGGGTGACAGAGTTAGGCTGTTTCTAAAACAAAACAAAATAAAAAAACAAAAAAAAAAAACTCCCCATCACTGAGCCACAAACACCTGTGCGTCCTCTCCCGGCCTCTCCTGTCCAAGGTCAGTCCCACCCTCCACTCAGGATAAGCACCTCAACCCCTAATGTTATCATCCCCACAACCTGCCCAAGGTCATGCCCTGCAGCACTGCTGAGGAAAAGAAAGGATCAGGCATCTAAAGGTTCATCCTAAGTGACCTGGTTAGGTACTGTGGAGGCCAAGGCAACTTCATCTTGGAAGCTCATCCGTCATGTTGGTTCTGATTAACCCGGGTTTCAGGAAGCTCCCTAAGATTTCCAGCATATCCACTGTTCCTTGTGTAAGATCACATACTTACTATACATCTTGCCCTTGGGTCAAAACAAATCTGATGTTATCATACTTCACTTGTCCTACACATCCCTTCTGAAGCACATGCACCCTCTCCCTGTGGTATATAAGCCCTGGGTCTGGGGGCCTATAAGGTCTATGGATGTGCTTTGGTCAAAGAATAGGCTGAGGCAGACATCCAGGACAGAGTGACTCAGTGAGTTTAGGGCACAGGAGCATATTCCACTTGTTATGTAACCTGTTCAAGTTCATACTTGGCTCTGGGCCAGTGTTGTCCATAGAAGGTATAACTGCCCTGCTGTGCATGGGGCTTGGTTCAGTGCAGCAAGGCATTGCATGGCACAGTTCGTGCACGTGCCCAGAGAGGGAATAACACTACTAACTCCTATAAGGGAGAGCCGGTCTCCTTGAAGGTGGGCAGGGGGAACCAGGAACTGGCTTGTGCCTAAGGGGAAAGAGTTAAGCTGCTGACCCTGACAGAGCTGGCCTTGCAGGCCAGGGATTACAGCTGCAGACATAGGGGCAGCAGGAGCCTCAGAGCCAGCTGTTGAGAGGAGCCACAGTGCTGGAGCAGATGGCCAAGATCAAGGTGGACAGTGAGAGAGCCAGTGTGAGTAAGCTGCTGATGAGAGAGCTGCTGAATAAAACTATGTATCACCTGCCTACAGCCCCAAACTGTTCTTTCAGCTCTTCGCCCATCCACCCACTCCCCTCAGACCTCAGCTGTGGCTGAAACCTGACAAGGGCGTAGTCATGGCATAACAAGGGTCATGGCTCAGGGATCCACCATCTGGTGTCACAGCCACCCAAGCTATTTAAATCCCTATTAAATGTTTCTTTCTAAGAAGCTGGACTTGACAGCCTCTTCCTCTGGCCTCTCAGCTTCCTAAGACTTTGGGGGCAGGTTTGCAGGGGCCTGCCCCATGTGAAACAGCTAAATTATGCTGTCTCCAATCTGTATCACCCTTGGCAGCTGACAAGGGTGAGGAAATTCTCTGAGCACTGAGATGAAATAGCCTCGAAGTGGAAAATGAAAGGTTCAGAACATTGTGTCCACTGTGCTACCATTTGTGGTGGGGCAGGGGAGAAGAGAGAGTATTTGCTACCATATTTATATTTGCATACACATTGCATAGACACGTATGCATAGACTGTCTCTTGAAGGACACACAAGAAACTGGTAACACTGGACACTTCCATGCAGAGGAACTGGATGGCCGGAAGTAGGAAAGACTTTTCATGTATGTGTGTGTATAAATATGTGTATCTACACATATACATGAGTTGCCGATGCCCCCCTCCACTTCCACCCCCAGAGCCTGGAAGAGAATTTTCTGGCGGCAGATCCTACTTGCACTTGGCCTCTTAGGCCTGTTCCTGTGTGGCCTCCCTAAATTCAGGTACAAGCCCCTTTCCCCAGCACTTGAGGTGGGACCACAGAGTCAGGGTTAAAGGGGATCTGTCTAAGTGTCTCCTTGATGGATGGAGGGTGGGAGCTAGCTCAGCTCAAGTGTCCTTGTGAGCCCTCTCTCCTTGTAATAAGCAAAGCCAGAGGGCTCCTGGGCAGGCTGACATGCTTCTCATGGCTGCCCACCCCCTGCCATAGACATCTGGAAACCTTCATCCCCATGGGTGTCTGTCCTTCAGCCACAGTGTCGCTGCTGAGAGACAACTTCACAGGTGCCCTGCATCCCTGGTAAGAAGCTCCTATCCCTCCCACTTCAAGAGTACCCCCAAACCCTACAGAGCTCTGCCCCATGTCCCTGCCCTCCTCACATCTCCCACCCCAGCAGAGCCAAGCACTGCTCCACCAAACCCAACAGCCTCCATCGGGCTATACGCTTCCCAGTCCTCTGTGTTGCCCTGAGCTGGAGGCTTCCAGGTGCAGCAGCTAGGTATCATCCGCCTGTGGGTCCCTAGGGCTCAGCACTGGGGAGGTGGCAGTGAGCATACACCAAGCGGATGGATGAATGAAGCTCTTTCCCATCCCTGCCCTGGCCAGGGCCCGGCCTGAAGTTCTGACCTGCACCCCCTGGGGGGCTCCCATTATTTGGGATGGCACTTTTGACCCAGATGTGGCCCAGCAAGAGGCTAGTCAGCAGAACCTCACCATTGGGCTGACTGTCTTTGCTGTAGGCAGGTAAGGCCTGGGAAGGGGAGTGGTGCTGTCAAGGCTGGGAGTGGGAGGGGTGTGCATGTAATGGAGGAGGTGGGGCACCCTGCTTCCTGTGCCGTGGGATCCCAAAGTGAAGTGAGAAGCAAAGACAGCACTTCTTGACCCATGCCCCCAGGGTAAGCACAGGACCATCCTTCTCCTCCCTAGACACCAACACCATAGAGCCCACCCAACACAGGCAGCCAGGGGTGTTCTAGAACCACATCTAGAAGGGACCTGCTTAGGGGCTGGGACTGATCCATCTGGAGGCACTGGTTTCGTAGTGAGAAAATGATGGGGTCTTTCAGAAGAGAGTGGTGGGAGGAGGGCGGTTTGACTGGTAAGTAGAGGAATGGTTCACCACGGCAGGTGCCCAATGGAGGTCAGCAGCTCAGGTGCAGGTACACAGGATGGGAGGGGGGTGCCAACCAAGTCTGATGGAGGGAGAGGGGCTGGGGAACTGGAGGATTGCAAGGGAGTGAATCTGAACTGGGCAGAGGGAGTAAAGAGGAGGGGGATGACAAATACTGAGAAAGTGGCAGGGTCACCAGATGGAGGATTCAGTGAGGTAGGACTGTTTTGGGCAGGGGGGTGGTAATCACAGTAAGCAAGCTAGAGAAACGAGGTCCTCACATGGTCACTCTCTCGACTTGGTCTTCATCAGTGTCTGTTCCACTCTGTTCCTTTCCTGCAGAATCACTGCAGGAAAGGAGGTCATGAGAAGAAATGGCAAAGGCACTGACCTCCCCACTATGGATGACAGGGAGTGTCTAAGCTGGGTGTCCACCTTCCTGAAGTGACACGAAGGGGACTCTTGACAGTCAGATCCTATAACCTAGTTTCAGGCAACTAAAAGAAGCATTTCTAAAAACGGAACCAGTTGCTTTGGGAAGGTGGTGAGAGCCTCCCACTTAGGAAGAGATACTCAAAAAGGATGGGGAAGGAATTTTGTTACCAGATACCCCAGGCAACCATTCAAGGCTCCTCCAACTCTGTCCCCCACACCCTACAAGCGACAGAAAGCCAGGAGTGCCGCTGACAGGCAAGGGGATGAAAAGGACCAAGGTGTGAACCTTGGACCAGGTGGGCAGAACTGCTGGGCCACTTGGACCTTGGCCTCTCCCAGGACCTCGGTGTTTCCACTTCCATCACACATGCTGAGTTCCTGCCTCACCCCTAAGGGGTCAGACACTCAATGTACAGAAAATTCTGGGATCCTGAGGTCCTGAGTTCCAAGATTCTGAGTCCAACACTCTGGGATGCTGAGATTGCCCAGGTCTCTGATTCCCATTTCCCACAGTCACCAGGAATAGACCAAGTGTAAGTAAAGGTACAGGCTCCAAGGCCAAGCTGGGTCCAAATCCGGGCTCTACCGCTTACCAACGGTACATACAAGTTTCTAACGCTCTTTAGATGAGACAGTGCACATTGACTTAGAAAGCAGTGGCTGCCACATGATCAAAGTTCTAAGTACTATTAGATACTGTTACTATTATTTTAAAATCCTAAGATCCCAAGGTCTGTTCATACAGTATTCCAGGCAGCCTCATTATTGATGTAGTGAAAGACATTCCATGACTTAAAACAGCTTATTATTATAGCCCCTAAAATAATTCTGTGGAGGGCCAGGCACAGTGGCTCTAGCCTATAATCCCAGCACTTTGGGAGGCCCAGGCGGGTGGATCACCTGAGGTCAGGAGTTCAAGACCAGCCTGGACAACAGGGTGAAACCCTGTCTCTACTAAAAATACAAAAAATTAGCCAGGTGTGGTGGCTGAGGCCTGTAATCCCAGCTACTTGGGAGGCTGAGGCAGGAGAATCACTTGAACCCAGGAGGCAGAGATTGCAGTGATCTGAGATCGCGCCACTGCACTCCATCCTGGGCAACAAGGGCGAAACTCCATCTCGAAATAATAATAATAATAATAATAATTCTGTGGGTCAGGAATTCAGACAGGGCTCAGCAGGAAGGGTTCCTCTCCTCATGCTCCCAAATGTCTGGGTCTCAGCTGGGAGACCAATTGCTGATGACTAGTGGGGCCAGCTTGGGCCTCCTAACTCACGGCAGCACCCAAGTTATGGGACTTCTTAAAAGGAGGCTCAGAGCTCTAAAGAGAGAAACGCTGCCAGTCCTCCAAAGGGCCAGTATGAGGCAGGAGTGGCAGGCAACTTGCAAGCATCCTCAGCCCAACCTGCCCTGCCCCATCTAAGTTGAAAGATGCTATGGTTGGAGGGTCTGGAGGACCAGGCAGCATGGGTGGGGTGCGGGTGAGGTGGGTGAGGTTAGGGTGGGGGTGAGGTGGGGTG